CTAATTATTAGTATATGATTAATAAAAACTTATATAAAAACAAAATAAAAATTATGACAATACCACATATATAATTAACATGAAATGGAATAGACTATTAAATAATATTAATATATAAGATCTATAAAAACAATAAAATTATATATACATTAATTTTTTTAAAACTTAATATTATAGATTAAAAGGCATTCCTAAAAGATTTCATAAAACATAACAGTAAAAAAAAAAAAAAATTCCCGTTAAGTAATGTTTACTTAATAAAGATTAGATAAAAAGTCATTTTATAATAATCCATCAACTTTTTAATTACCATTAATCTATATTAATTTGATAAAATATGATACAAAAAAAATCATTTTTCAATAACCTGGGTGTGAATAAATGTTAAACATTCAATTTTGCATTTTACTTATACGTTTTTATATTTGTGGTGAACAATACCCTTAATATTCAATTTATAACTTCTAAAAAGGATAATTAATAATTCTTATTGCTTTCAAAAATTAAGTCAATTAATTTTCACTAAATACAATTATTACTAATTATTAGCACACAATTAATAAAAATGTCATTACACACAATTAAAAGAAATTACAGTAATACTATTTTTATATATAATTTTCTTGAAATGACATATTTTATTAAGTCTAATATTAATATATAGAATTGACTAAAAAATAAAATTACTAACATAATTAAATATTTTCAAACCTAATAATACATATTAAAAATAGTATTACATTTCTAAAAAATTCTTTTGAAAATAATAAATTCAATCCATAATCGCAATCTTTAAATATTTTATTAATCAAATACATAATCAGGACATTTCATTGTCCATAACACAAATATTTTTCGAAAAAAGTTTTAACACAAATGAAGGAAATAAAAAAATAAAAAATAAAAAACTACATAATAGCTTCCTTACTCTTTAAGTTTCAATTATGAATTCATAATTCATCACTCACAGATCACATATTGAGTATGTGTTTATAAATTATTTCTCTTCTTATTTTACTTTTTCTAGTAATTATTGATGTGTAATTATTAATCACAAATTTTTATAGTCTCTTTTGATCGGAATGATGGCCATTCTTTGCTTATAGAGCACAACAACCAATAAAAAACGTTTTACTTTTCTCAATGATGACTTTTAATAGTATGGATTATGTAAAGATTTATTACATTGGATAGTTATTTTCAATTTATTTTTTACAAATATTATATTTTAAACCAAAATTTACTTGCATTCTGTTATTCAATGCAATACAATTTTTTCGTTATTTCCTCAACTCGAATTTTGTGCTTTTTGTCTTTATTATATTCATTAATTGGTGAATATATTTTCTTTCTTATTGTTATAATCTTACAATGTGTGAATGTTAGTTTTGAGGAATTGGAAGTTCTAATGTCAATTTCACTTGCAAGGAATTTAGGTATGAGCTGTCAGTTTGAAAAATAGTTTGGTGCTTATTAAAATTTGCTATTTTTTCACTTAAATATTGAATAAAGAGAAAAAATCATCAAAATCTAAAATTAAAATTTCCCAAATTTTGAGTGTCATATTCTTAGAGTTTTTAACCCTTAAAAATTTGATTCAGTACACATTTACATGGAATATTAATATTTTTTGAGATATTAATTTTATTGATTATAGCCATTTCCATAATTTATATTCACTTAGTATTGTTACCTTTAATTTGTAGGAAAGATATTTTTTTTAATTAATTATGACTATTAATCATTAAGAAAGCTCTTGAATGCACAGCCTCCCAACTTTTTTTTTTAATTTTATTTTAAATATTGGTTTTAACGCAAAATTATAGTTAAAAATTAATTACGTAAATAATCTAATTGCATAATCAAATAGTTTAAGGTTTATGTCGCAACCCACAATTTTTTGTCCAAGTGTTTTGATATTTTAAAATTTTGTAGGCATTTCAAAAGTTTTTTTTATTATTATTTTTTTATCAATTATAATAATAGAATATTAGTTATATCATACTAAAAAAATGTACATTTTAAATTTTAATGTTATTGTATTAAAATATTGTTATACGATATACTAAAAAAATTGTAAGTATCATTGATGCTTATTAAAGTTTTATTATATTTAACTATTACTAAAAATATCAACATTATTAAATGCTGAAAGATCTTAAATTTGACTTTATAACTTTGTTCAAGTTATAAAAATTCTTTTTTAATATTATACTATGTGCAAACAATATTTAGAAAACTAGCTTTTTATTTTAAGTTCGTACCAATTATTTTTATAGTTTTTTATTATCATTTCTTTTCTACTTTCACAGGATTAGTATAAAAAGAGATACATGTCTCCAATGATACCAGATCTAATCAGATCGTTTTGAATCGAAATAAGTCAAATATATTTACTTGAATTTAGGCAAATCAAAGCAAGAGATTAAATATGTCACTACTTTTGACAAATTAAATAAGTATAACTTTTTATATTTTGTGATTTTGGATATATTTAATGAATATAAATTATGCATCCATTTTGGTGTTTTAATATTTACATGTATACATACTTTACTTTTTAAATTTAATTTGACCTATTTATATTCAAACAAATCAGATAAGAACTTTGTTATGTTAAAGTAAAAATTTTGTAATGTATATGAAATTGACATTAAAAATAAAGCAAAAATAATAATAATTCATTCTTACGAATTTAAGCACCCCATTTGTTTGTAGTAGTAATAGAATTTAGTTATTCTTTGACATGCTTCCTTATTGTCAATTCAATGCAATATTTGATTATTTTAGTTCTTTATCCTCAAGGTATGTTATTTTTAGTAATTTCATTTCATATTTGATTCTCATTTTTATATTTTGTCTGGAATCTAAATGCAAATCAATTTTATCAAGAGGAATTCCTAAATACATTGTTGTCAAACAGTATCTGCGCATCCCATTAACTCCAACAAATGATGAAGGATATTTATTTAAATTTAAGAGATAACAATTTTCACTACACGTATACTTGCAATTATCATTAACAAAGTTTAAGGACAAACAATGCTTACTATTAAAATATATATTTCTGGGCATATATTATCTTATGGACAATTATATCTCACACTTTTTTGTGGAGTTTCAATGCAGACAACAAAAGTCTTGATAACAGACTAAAAATAGAAAACACAAAGAAGAAAAGTTGTAGGATGTTGACAAAAAATATTGTGTGCGAAGAAGTGTTATTCACATGAAAATATTACATTTCAATTTATTAAACCTTTCACATTATATAAATAATTTCGTAAAATGTGTTATTCATGTACATATTTTTTTTTAACAATTTTATTTTTTCCTTTAGTAAAATTTATTACATCAACTACTTCCAAAAACATTATTAGTACTTAAAAATATTAAGCATATCACTTGTCCGATACATAAAACGTGCAACGCACGTGCTTACTACTAGTATATTAAAAGTGGGGATAGTGAAAAAACTTTTAAATACCAAATTTACCCCTATATATTTAACTATATGCCCACTATACCTTCATAATTGGAATAACAACTTAATTAGTATTTTATCATTTGGTGTATAATTAATATAATATAATTAGTGAAATATTTAATTGATATTTATCATTTTGGATTTGAATTAATATAAAGAGTGAAACTAACATTCAATTATATTAAATAAATGACTTATCATTCAATTGACCATTTTGTTCAAACAATTTTTATTTTTCATCAGCAAAACCCTTGTTAATGTTCATGATTTACATTATAATTCCTGCAATAAGTTTTTATTTTTCATCAACAGAGCAATTTTTAATTTTCATGCCTTACATTATAATTTATCCATTAAGTTATTATTTAATTGAGGTTACAAATATTTTGAAGACTGCATTAATATATTAATGAGGACATTCAATGAATAAAAAAGAAATTACACCAATAATGACTAACATTAATTGATTTTTTTTCTTTACAAATTGTAATTTTCATCAACAAAGCCTGTGTTACCAAATTAATTAATATTTATCATTTGATTTAGAATTAATATAAGTGGTGAAATATTTTATTGGTATTTATCATTTGGGTTGGAATTAATATAAGGAGAACTGACATTCAATTATTAAATAAAAATTAACGAAAATTTAGTGACTTATCATTCAAATGAGTATTTTGTTCTTACAATTTTTATTTTCCATCAACAAAGTAATTTTTTATTTTTCATCAACAAACCCCTTATTAATCTTCATGATTTACATTATAATTCATCCATTGTTTTTTATTAACAAAGCAATTTTTATTTTTTATCAACAAATCCCTTATTAATCTTTATGATTTACATTATAATCTGTCCATTAGGTTATTGTTTAATTGATGTTACAAAATTGAAAGGTTGCATTAATGTATTATTGAGGTAAGAAATGTGCTAAAAGTTGCATTAATATATTAATTGGGACATTTGATTACTAAAAAAAATATTGTGTACAAAGAAATAATATTGTAATCATATCATTACATGTTAGTTTATTTAACATTTTCAAGTCATATACATAATTTCATAAAAACTTGTAAACACACTGAATTGTAATTTTCCCTTTAACAATATAATTTACCTCTATTATTTTAAAAATGATAATAGTAATTAAAATTAGTTCATATATCATTCATTGATGCATAAAATGCCAGTGAGATTGAAATGGGGCCAAGAGGTAAAAGCCAAGGTACAAATAGCTTTATCCATCACAAAACTATTCTTGTTTATCCTAGATCCACCCTTTGGGGGCCCACTAAACCCGCAGTAACCTACTCGCCAATCTCAGCTCGTCCTAACAAATTTTATAATTTTATAAATTCACATTCTCGATTCTACTTCAAATTTCAGCAAAATTCCCCCCTTCACCCCACAAAATTCGTACTCCTGCTTCGGCGCTTCATATACACATATACATATATACTCACAATATAAAAGAATAATAGCATAATTCAAAAGAAAAAGTAAAGAAAACTTAATGGATTATTATAACATACTGATGGTAAATCGGAACGCCAGCGAGGATGACTTGAAGACGGCCTACATGCGTTTGGCCATGATTTGGCACCCAGACAAGAATGTTAACAAGATTGAAGCTGAAGTCAAATTCAAACAAATTTCGGAAGCGTATAAAGTTTTAAGTGATCCACAGAAGTGCCAGATGTACGATCTTTACGGAGAGAAGAGTCTCCAATCTGGGTGAATCTCAACTCCTTCAAGAAGCACAAGAACCCACCAGGGTTCTTATTATAGTAATCAGCAGCATCCCGACCCGAATTTTCGATTCAATCCCAGAAATGCCTATGATATATACGCGGAGGCTTTCGGGGAAAGCAGTAGTAATGGCAATGCTGGTAATAGTAGTAGCAGTAATAATGAAGGTGGTGGGGGTGAGAAGGGTGTAGGAATTGGTTCAAGTAATTAACCAAAAATTGAAAAATGAAAAGGTATGTAAAAGTGGAAAATGAAAATGTGTGACCATGTGTCAACTTCGACCAAATATTTGGACTTGATCCGATGGTCAAATTATAAAAGTAAATAGACCAACTTATTCTACTCGTCGAGTAGATCGTCGTGGTATATTTGGAATCTCGAAATCAATTCCGGATGAATGGGAAATTTTGGACAATTTGGAAGAAATGAAGTGTTGCAACTTTTCGAACGGATGCAGGTTTTGGCCAAGTGTTGTAACTTTCTGAAAGGATTCATGTTATGGCCCACACTACTTCATTTGCATCCTTTCTACATCTATAAATAGAACCCTATAGACATGGTTTTGGGTACACCAATTGCATTGAGCATTCATTCTCCTCTTGCAATTCTCTCTTTTCTAATTTCATAGCATTTCACGTATTTCCTTTGAAGAGGGGAAATTCTATCAAAAGTTCGTCAGTTTTTTGTGGTTTGAAGTGCTGCTACCACAAGTTGTGAATCCATTGTATCTTGGAAGACAAGTGCCATTCACCGTGAGCACCATAGCGGGGCAATTTGTCTTAAGGAAAGAGATAACGTCTCGTCTTGGATTATTCTCTATTTCCACTCCTTAATCCTTGTTTTGCATAATCGTTATACCGAAACTCTATCCAAATTTTCATTCATATAAATTCTATTTTGGTCACGCTCTTGCGGGTTAAAACTAGTTAAACAAATATATCAAAAATCAACCCTTACATAGCCCTTTTTATAAGTCGTCTCCAAAAAATTTAAGACAAATTTTTGTGTCTTTGTGGTTGGTTGTGGACAACCATTACCTTGTTTGATTAGTGCTTTGTGTATTATTCCTCCACCGATATTATCATCATTTTGTTGAACTTCCGTTTGTGTAACAGAAATGACTATTATCGGGACTTCGTCAAGTCAAAATGGTTCCAATAATATGGTACCACCCATGGGCATACCGTTGCATAATACTACTATCCCACAAGGGGAAAAGCTGAAAAAATTTACAGGAGTAGACTTCAAGAGTTGGCAACAAAAAATGTTGTTTTATCTCACCACTCTTAATTTGGCTAAATTTCTAAAGGAAACTAAACCGGTTGTACAAGAAGGGGAAAATAATCGTGAATTGATTTTTGTTTTTGATGCATGGAAATACTCAGACTTCCTATGCAAGAACTATATCCTAAACGCATTGGATAATACACTATATGGGGTGTATAGTTCAAAGGAATTAGCCAAGGAACTATGGGATTCTTTGGAGACAAAGTACAAAACTAAGGATGCTAGAACAAAGAAGTTCATTGTCAGAAAATTTTTGGACTACAGTATGGTGGATTCCAAAACTGTGATTAGCCAAGTGCAAGAGATTCAAGTCTTATTGCACGACATCCATGCCGAGAAAATGGAATTGAGTGAATCATTCCAAGTGGCTGCCATAACTGAGAAACTCCCTCCTATGTGGAGAGATTTCAAAAATTACCTCAAGCACAAACACAAGGAAATGAACTTGGAAGAATTGATTGTGAGCTTGAGGATTGAAGAGGAAAATCGAAAAACCGAACGAAGGCCGATTGATCAAGATGGTGCAAATTTTGTTTAAATGGAATCAAAGGCAACAAACAAGAGACGAAAGGCTCCTAATTATGCACCGCGAAGAGATAATTCCAAGAAGGCTAAGAAGTTCAAGGGGAATTGTTACAACTGTGGCAAGGCTGGACATCGTTCAAGTGAATGTCGAAAGCCAAAGAAAAATGCTCAAGCTCACATGGTTGTAAATAACACTCTATCTGATGGACTGTAAGAAATGAGTTTATCTGCAATAGTGTCCGAATGCAACATGATTGGAAATACTAGAGAGTAGTGGATTGACACCAGCGCTACTCGCCATGTGTGTGCGGACAAGGAGATGTTCTCCAAGTATCAAGAATTGAATGGGGAACTACTATACATGGAAAATTCTGCAAGTTTCAAAGTTGAAGGACAATGTAAAGTCACTTTGAAAATGACATCCGGGAAAGAACTCATCTTCAACAATGTCCTACATGTGCCGGATATACGAAAGAATTTAGTGTCCGGGTCTCTACTTAGCAAGAATGGTTTTAAACTTGTATTTGTATCCGATAAATTTGTGTTGTCTAAGAATGAGATGTATGTAGGGAAAGGATATATGTGTGATGGAATGTTCAAGTTGAACGTTCTTACAATTGTACCAAAGCAAGTCATTATAAATAAAACTATAAATTTCATTTACTTGCTTGAGCCTTCATATTTGTGGTATAGTCGATTAGGACATGTGAATTACAAATCGTTGCGCAAACTAATGAATCAAAGTTTAATTCCAGTGCATAAAATCAATTCTAATCATCAATGTGAAATATGTGTTGAAGCAAAATTGGCTAAAACACCGTCCCATTCAATACAAAGGAACACAACCCCTCTTGAATTGATCCATAGCGATATATGCGATCTAAAATTTGTACAAACTCGAGGTGGTAAGAAATACTTTGTGACATTTATTGATGATTGTACAAAGTTTTGATAGGTCTTTCTTTTGAGAAGTAAAGACGAAGCCTTAGATGCATTCAAAACATAAAAGGCTAAAGTTGAAACACAACTTGAAAAACGAATAAAGAATATTCGTAGTGATAGAGGAGGTGAATATGGGGCACCATTTGAAGACTTTTGTTCTGAACATGGAATTATTCATTAAACAACGACACCTTACTCTCCTCAATCAAATGGTGTTGTAGAACGCAAAAATCGAACACTTAAAAAAATGATGAATGCCATGTTAATAAGTTCAGGTTTACCATAGAACATGTGGGGAGAGGTTATTTTAATGGCAAGTAGTCTTCTTAATAAAATATCTCTTAAGAAAATGGAAGAGATACTATATGAATTATGGAAAGGCCATCCTCCATCCTACCAATACTTAAAAGTGTAGGGGTGTTTGGCTAAGGTTGAGGTACCTAAGCCTAAACAAGTGAAAATCTATCCTAAAATGATAGATTGTATATTTATTGGATACGCCAATAATAGTAATGCATATCGATTTCTTGTACACAAATCTGAAATACAAGACGTACACAAAGGGACCATAATTAAATCAAGGAATACGACATTTCTTGAAAATATTTTTCCTCGCAAAGATAAGGAAAATACGAGTTCTAAGAAGAGAACATATGAAACTACCAATGAAACTTCAAATGAGGAAGAACCAAGGCATAGTAAAAGGGCTAGGACTTCCAAGACGTTTGGCCCAGGTTTTCTAACCTATATGGTAGAGGATGATCCAAAGACTTTCGATGAAACAATGTCTACACTGGAAGCACCGCATTGGAAAGAAGCTATTAATAATGAGATAGATTCTATAATACAAAACCATACATGGGAGTTTGTTGATTTACCTCTCGGTAACAAGCCTTTAGAATGTAAATGGATATTCAAAAAGAAATTGAAACCTGACGGACCCATTGATAAATATAAGGCTAGATTGATTTCTAAAGGATACATGTAAAAAGAAGGACTTGGCTTCTTAGATACCTACTCACCTATGACTAGAATCACGTTGACAAGGTTGTTAATTGCAATTGCAGCAATACACATCTTGAGATTCATCAAATGGATGTAAAAATAGCATTCCTAAACGGTGAGTTAGAAGAGGAGATTTACATAGAGTAGCATGAAGGGTTCATTTCTCCTAATTAAAAATACAAAGTGTGTAAACTTGTTAAGTCCTTGTATGGATTAAAACAGGCTCCTAAACAATGGCACCAAAAGTTTGACAAAACAATATTGTCAAATAGATTCAAGATCAACGAATGTGACAAATGTGTATATATTAAACATACTCCAAATGCCTATGTAATTGTATGTCTATATGTGGACGATATGTTAATAATGGGTAATAGTCACGAAATGTTGCTTAACACCAAAAAGATGCTAACAAAGCATTTTGATATGAAAGATATGGGTGTGGTAGATGTAATTCTAGGGATTAAAATCTCTTAAACGCAGAATGGAATTGTACTTTTACAATCTCACTATATAAAAAAGTACTTAAGAAGTTTGACGTGTTTAAGAAAAGTCCTACGAGAACTCCTCTTGATTCGAGTATGCACTTAGTCAAGAATACAGGAGAAACTTAGTAATTTAGTAGATTTACAAGTAATTCATACCGTGATCATTGGAAGGCTTTGACGAGGGTTCTAAGGTACTTGAAGTATACCTTAACATATGGATTACACTTCACAAAATATCCTGCGGTACTAGAAGGATATTGTGATGTGAATTGGATATCCGATATGAAGGATTCCAAGTCCACTTGTGGTTATGTATTCACCATTGGTGGAGCTGCTGTATCATGGAAATCAACAAAGCAAACGTGCATAGCTCGATCAACGATGGAATCTGAGTTTATTGCTTTGGACAAAGTTGGAGAAGAAGCAGAATAGCTTCAAAATTTCTTAGAAGATGTTCCATGTTTGCCCAAGCCAGTACCTGCGATAAGTATACATTGTAATAGTCAATCAGCAATTGGAAGGGCTCGAAACAGAATGTATAATGGTAAGTCTAGACATATTCGTCGTAAACACAACACCATTAAGTAACTGATCTCAAATGGTGTTATCTCCATAGATTATGTGAAATCAAAGGAGAATATTGCGGATCCACTTACGAAAAGTTTGCTTAGAGATCAAGTGTGTTACCTATCGAGAGGAATGGGATTAAAGTCTACTACGTAAGAGTTTTTGCAATGGTAACCCTACCTTGTTGACTGGAGATTCCAAGATCTTAGTTCAAAGGGACAACTAAGTTGTGAAAATTTCATGAAGTAATTAGGAAATTAGAATTCCTAACTCATTCTTATGATACTAAAGTGCTTTTTGCAGAGTGGATAGAGGCTAAGATTATCTTTTAATGATTCCTATATCTTGACTAAGTCAAGTGGAGTAGGGCAGAATACTCTTAATAGGAGGTCACCTATGTAAGTGTGAAGTGGGGCCGCTTTGATAAGAATTGTTTAAGGTTTGAATTCTGTAAACACTTATGAAACCAAGAAGGGTTCAGGGTCAAAATGAACCAAGTCATGAGAACTAAGTACAGAATAGGGAAGATACCTATGTGAGTTCTTTTGTCTTGACTTACACCAAAGGTTGAGTGATTCAAGACCTATGGTTTACCAATTAGCCGAGCAAGTCCGATAGTATTTCACTAAGGGAGGTTCAAGGCTAGAAGCCACCATCCCTGATGCAGTATTTTTTCGTACCCTCTCTACATTGCATCATATCATCGCATTTGCATATGCGTATCCAAATTTCCATTCATGAGGGGGATTGTAGAAATTGGTTCAAATAATTAACCAAAAATTGAAAAATGAAAAGGTATGTAAAAGTGGAAAATGAAAAGGTATGACTACATATCAACTTCGACCAAATATTCAGACTTGATCCGATGGTCAAATTACAAAAGTAAATAGATAACTTATTGTATATTTGGAATCTCAAAACCAATTATGGATAAATGAGAAATTGCAGACCAAAGTCAGAAGAAATGAAGTGTTGCAACTTTTCGAAAGGATGCAGGTTTTGGCCAAGTGTTGTAACTTTTTGAAAGGATGCATGTTTTGGCCCATACTACTTCATTTGCATCATTTCTACATCTATAAATAGAACCCTATGGACATGGTTTTGGGTACACCAATTGCATTGAGCATTCATTCTCCTCTTGCAATTCTCTCATTTCTAATTCCACAGCATTTTCATGCATTTCCTTTGTAGAGGGGAAATTCTGTCAAAAGTTCATCGATTTCTTGTGGTTTGAAGTGTTGCTACCACAAGTTGTGAATCTATTGTATCTTGGAAGATAAGTGCCATTCACCGTGAGCACCATAGTCGGGCAATTTGTTTTAAGGAAAGAGATAACGTCTCGCCTTGGATTATTCTCTATTTCTACTCCTTCTTAATCCTTGTTTTGCATAATCATTATACCAAAACTCTATCCAAATTTTCATTCATATAAATTGTATTTTGATCACGCTCTTGCGGATTAAAACTGGTCAAACAAATGTATCAAAAATTAACCCTTACATAGCCCTTTTTATAAGTCGTCTCCAACAAAGGGATGGGTACTTTAGGAGTTCAACGATGAATGGTGGTGGGAGTAGGGATTATTCAGTGGCTGGTGCTGGTGGAGTGGCGTGGGGGTTAAGGAAGGCACGGCTGGTGGAAAACCCATTGAATAAGGGTGGTGCCAAGAAAATGAAAATATCTAGAAATATTCTTGATGGTCACGGGTGCGTGCTACTTCTTCTTCCTTTTTTTTTCTTTTTCTTGTCGAGCATGATGATTATCAATTTCAGTATGATTTGGAGATGGGTTTTTAGTGTTCTATGCAATGAAAGATTTTATTCTTGTTTTGGAATTCTTATATATCATTTGATTGTTGTAATGATTATTGGGATTATAATATGGTGGATTGGATTCTTTTTTGCTTTATGAAGTGCATGATTTGAATTTTTTTTTTCTTTTCGAGTGTGTTATATCCATTAATTACATGGCATACACATGATGGAGGTGGTCCCACATTGGCCAATGTGGC